CACAGGTCAGTCATCAAGGATAAAAATTATACAGGGTGAGTTTCCTATGGGTATCTCGGAAACTACTGGAGATAGAGAGTCGGTTAAATGGGGAAAGAATTTCCGTTTTGTGGGGTCATAAATATGGGCCTTTCAGATTTTTTTAAAAGTTCGTGGCTTACTAGATATTTCGAAAAAAAAGTGTTGGCTATTTTAAAAATTATTGTCCCTAATTCCAATATAATCAATCAATATTTTAGACAAAAAGTTTTCAGATAAACGTTGTAGATAATCACATGAGTTTATGAGTTTATGTTCTCCGATTTTTCCTAAACCCTGTCATTTTAGACATACCGTGCTGGCAACTGTTACTTTTGGGTCGGCATTTACATGTGTGGAAGTAAATCGCATAGGGATCTTATTAAGTCGGAGTGAGAGAAATGCGACCGACCGACGCGACGCGCGACGGTGTGCTGTTGCGGCGTTGCCGATACGCCTTTCCCTATCAAGTAAAGTAAAATCACGATCGCAAACCGCTTATTTTTAAAAGACTTTTTTTTCAAGAGATAACTAGATAAAATCATTAGACATGTTTCTTAGCATCTGAAATAGAATTATAAGGATATCGTTAGGGTGTCATTTATTTTATAACGAGAAAACGTCAGTAATCGCGATAATTTAAAAACTCAACTTTTTAACACATAACAGGCCATAACTCATCAAGAACCACTTTAGATACTTTACAATATATTTACATAAGAAAAATTCGATAAGGTTGTTTTTTCTATTCAAAAATTGTAAACAATCCATATTTACTTTTAGAGCATAGCAATTTTCAGCAATTGTGTAATTTTTTTATTGATAAAGATTTTCACATACTGTCTACAAAAAAAATACAGCAGAAATATTAACAAAGTTCTTGAAAAAAACTACAATTTATTATTTCTAATAGATTTCGAGATATCGATTTTTGAATTCAGAGTCTAATAGCGCGACCACTATCGAACACCTACTCAATTCCACTTATTTTTACCAAAAATGCAAGTGTTTTAGCATGCACTTAAAAAATTCAAGCTATAGGGAAAATTACAACGATTCGTTAATAAATGAACAAATTAAGTATCACGAGACGTAATTAAATCGTGAAGCTGAACGCATGACGTGCACCTTTCCCTAGAACTTTAAGTACTGACAGAGGTATTGATTGGGTCGACCGGTCAACTGCGACAAATCTGCTATATCCCCTTCCACGTCTCTTAGTGATGTGCACAGTTTCTCGGTTTATTTCATATGTTTGGCAACGTGTTTACTGTCCTCTCTTTGTTCAGTACATTATAAAAGCATTGTACTCTTCTTACATACGGCAATCTCGACCCAAGACTATCCTTTGCCAGCCCTTAGTATAACACAAACATATGTTTTTTTTTAAATGGAAACCATAGTTGGCCATTACTTCATAAAAAGCGCCATTTTTTAAGCTTTTCAGTGATATAAGCTATAATATGTTTTTTTTTTCACAAAATTACTGAGTTATAGCCATTTAACCAACTCTCCACTCCATATCCAGTAGGACAACGGCCCAGCTACGCGAAATACCAGTTCCCATTAGAACACCGAAGTTAAGCGACGTAAGACGATACTAGTGGATGGACGGGTGACCAGTTCGAAACTCTGTATCGTGCTGTTGTCCAAAAAAGGCAAAAGTGTAAAATCTATTGACACACACTGCTCATTCACGCCGGTTCGAGGCCGGATGAGATGGGATATCTCGTGAGTAAGAGTCGATTTAGACACTTGCCAAGTCGGTAGGCCATTAACCATGATATGGCCGAGGACCACGGTTCGGATTCCGCGTAAACAAATTAGGCCCCATCCAGATTTGCCCTGGCAGTAAAAAGGGAGACGTTAACTTGAAATATTTACTTTTCTATCTCCAGTAGTTTCCGAGAAACCCATAGAGAACATCGTAGACTCACCCTGTATAAAAATATTTCAACAAATAATGCATTTGCTGCAGTTATCTGCCAAATGTTAAACAAATCAATCGTCTCCAGCAATTATACCATCTATAACTGTTTCACATCCATCCTTAACTTTTTTATTTTGATTACACCCTGTATAATTTATAAATGTGTATCTTAACCATCCCTATAACTTTTATATTTAATATTTTTGTAAACCTGAAACAAATGAGATCATGGACTTTACTCTATCGTTGAGTCACCCTGTACAGTATGTCCCATTTTCGTTGAAATCATACCGTATCGCGGTTATTAGTGTAGATAGAAGGGTGCGGTTTGCACAAAACTCTCTCACTTTTTTGTCAAATGAAAGATTCTGTAAACAAAATATTAATAACCCTCTTCGTTTCTGAGCTACAAGGTCTTTTTGAAAATTTTGCAATTTGGGACAGTCCCCGTATATCCGTTATTGTGAAAGGTATCGAGAAGGTGAAAACTGATTCTTGTAGAACTTTTTACGTAGAATACAGTGGCTTAGTCTGTTTTTTTTTCTGCGAAAAAAATATTTTTGAAAATATGAACTAAAGTTTTTTTTAAACGGAACCCTGTATATTTATAAATCATATGATCCATCTTGCTTCTCAAAAATATATCACTCTACATTTATTTTCACTATTTACTGCAATATTTTAAAGATATCATTTTCTTATTGGTAAGCCGTGATAGATAAAAAGAAAATTGGCGCCGGGAGGCACGTATAGCCGCCCATACTAAAATATGTTAAAAAAAAGTTGGTAGGCAGTTCTTTTAGTTTCAAAGTAAAGGAATTTTTACAATTTTTTTTATCTCAAAAACTGCGACTTTGACTAATTTTGATGTGGAGTTACAATTTTTTAAAAATTTTAACCCCCTCCCATACCCCCTTACCAACCCCTCACCAGATTCTCGGGTGCCACAGTATTTTTGTGCCAAATTTGGTTGAAATCGGTTTAGCGGTTTTTGAGTTATCGTGTTACAGACAGACGGACAGACAGACACCATGAAAATATTTTGTTTGTATTTAGGTCATTTTTTATGACCCAAATAACTCATTTTGAATAAAATTAAAAGAACTTTTTTTTGCCGATCTTAAAAGCCTACCATACCTGTTGGCATGGTCGGCTAAAAATCAAAATGGTATTTAGTAAAATAGTCGTAGACATATTAAAATTTTATTTGGGACTGAAATATTTTACTTTTAAACACTAAATCTCTGAATATATTTTTCTTCTTTTTTTATAGCGGGATGAGTTTGCAAAAATCTAAAAGCTTGCCTGATAGCATTTTCAAGGTCTTGGGCATTATTTTAGTTGCCATAATATACTTCATATTTCAAAAATCCCTAAATACAGAAATCGAGAACAGACAAATCTGGGTATCAGGGGATCAGGGAGGCCAACTGGTCCCAATCCATTGATTTGAGAAATAGTTCAAAAAACACAATAATAATATTTTCAAAGTTGTGAGGAGGAGCCCCATTTTGCTGAAAGTATATTTCACGTAAATTAGCTAAAGGAATATCTAAATGTTTCAGTACGATAGCATGGAAAATTTACAAATAGCGGTAGAAGTTAATTTTCCCTGATATATGTATAACGAATTTATTAGTGGCTTATATATACTTATATTTAAAGATATTAAATTAAATGGCATTGTGGTCCCTCATAATTATCCAAAGTTTCGACACTTGATGTGAACGCTATGAACCAAACAAAAATATAGCTAGATAATGTACAAAAAACGTGATCTGTGGTAGATAGTGCTTTACGATCCATGCTAAAAATATTTTAATTTTAAAATTATTAATAACATTTAAATTGCATTCTAAACTTTATTTAACTTCTTTGCTATGCTTTTACAATTTAATAAATGCATTTTAGCAACGTTTAAACAGCAGAACAAATAGAAATATAAATTGTTCAAATTATTTGAAATTATAATATATGTTTCTTTTCGTACTAACATATTTTTAAACAATGTCTATACCTTTGTAGAGGGTTAATTTTTTAAAAAAAAACTGGATAACTTGCCACTAAAAGACAAATTTAAAAAATTAATTTAATATTAAAAATATGATGGAAACTAGAAACTAGCATGCACATCAGTGGTTTTTTATTCGCAAAACAAAAGTATAACAGATAATTATTCAAAAACTATTTAATAGCAATTATATTTCGACATTTTAAATATATTTTTCTTTTTTTCTGCTTCCGACGACGGAAGCCAATATACCTCCTGAAACGTCAAGCATTTTTATGAAAAAAAAAGGAAATTTGTTTTACAAGTGAAAAGTCTGACAAGTTAGTTTCTATTTAGATCAATGACTAAAGAATACAAGAACTAACACCCGAGACCAAATTATTACCATACCTCCAAACAGTGCCGTGGTACATATTTTTCTTAACATAACTACTTACAAAGATATTTATATTTTTGATAAATGTTTTCACTACACCTATGGTGTATGCGTTGGTATACTAATTAATTCCAAAAAAAAGTATTAAAATGTTAACATAATATACAAAACTAGTATCGACGTATAGCACATATCAAGTACATATGGTATCAAAAGAATATGTATCGAATTCGATAAAAAAACTAATTAAACGCTAAAAAGGTAGAGTGGACTGTTACCTATGAAACGTAACTTCTGGCTCTTTCTTATCGCTACGGTTTTTACACTTGAAAGCTGAACAACTAATCACCATTGTAATAAAGTTTAGACAAAGTTCACTACACACAATTAAAAAATCGCTAAAATTGTCGCTATGATGACCAGCTGATGACTCATTTGTTACATCCAAAAAATGGCGTCTAACATCACAAATTCTGCTGCAGCTCGTGTTGCTTGTGTGTTACTGGTAAAATAACAGTTTAACGTATTTTTAGTAAAAAAACTAGTATGTTTGTGTTGACAGCTGATAGTTTGCCGTATTACCTTATGACACCCGGTTTAATACAAATAACATATTTTTGAATTTTAGAAAATTATTGATTGCAATCAAGTAGAGAGGTACTTACCATATCGTCTGAGTCAGGGACAAGGGCTGGAGGTAAACGACAGATTTCAACCTCCAAATCACCTAGAAATCAAAGGAGATATTAAAGTTTATCACTAGAACTACCACTAGGTATCATTATTTTTAAAACTTTTTATTTAACTTGCAATCTTCTTATGTAAATTGTATCTGTTTCAAACTTGCAAATTTTTATTGATATTGCATTATATGTAAAGTCATTTTTGTTTTGGAAATAGACGGTATATTAATGAAACTTCCTTAAAACTGAAACTGCACGGTAGCCTGCCATTGATTCTTTTCTGGTTCTTTGCCAGGGATCTGTCTAAACCCGATCGAACTTCAGAGTTACGATAACAATGAACAACGACTGGAGTCCGCTGTTTCCAACACCAACAGACGAATGAGACAACCAGTACGTTAAATATTGCTCCGTTTTTGACTTTTTTATTCCTAGCAATATAAATAAGCACACAAAAATATCGAATAGTTAAAAATAAACCATCATAAAATAAAAAGGAGGTAAGGTTTAGATATTTAGGCTCTTTTTTAATTATTTCAAAACTGGATCAAGATAAGGAAATTCGTGTGTGAATAGGGATCTCCATTTCTGAAATTTAAATAGTGCCGTTATAATAAATACGAAAATATACTTTTGCTATCACTAGGCCCTGGAACACGCTATCACTAGCCCTCTTGATTATGACCATTCTAATATAAATAAGATAAAATAGATTATTTTATTAAAAAAATTGACAATGAACCAGAATACCATAATACTAGGTGTATTAATATCTAATAATTAAGATATCAATGACGGTGGCAAGAAACGACACCTCAGTGATTTCATGGTAGGCTTTGGATAAAAGTTGCTTTTAGAGGAATAGTTTAAACATAAAAATATTATTATATCAACATTTTGATAGTCTCAGCATCGTTTTTTTTTAACTTTTGATTGCTTTTCTAAAAATGCTTTTCTTTAATAGAGAAAAAACGCTGCTAAGACTATCAAAATGTTGATTTAATAACACTTTGACGTTTATACTATTACGTTAAAAGCAACTTTTTTCCAAAACCTACCATTACTTCACTGAGGCGTTGTTTCTTATTAACTGTCATAATTATTTCGGATATCGGATAAGGATATCTTAAGTATTAGATATCTATTAATAGATCTGGGGCCTATAACACAAACAGTACAAGTCCTAGACTTGCTAAAATATATTTGGCAGTTGTAGCTTTTTCGTAACACAACTGATCTACTACTACCGTGCGGCACTGGTAATTACGGAACTTTTTGTACACTTGTGTAGTTTGTTTCCATAACACAATAGTCACACGTATACAGTTGTGTTACGGAACTGTCAACAATTGTAAACAATTTTCTACCTATCTCGAACTCTGGGTAGGTTCAGTATAGTACCGTCCTTTGTCATAAACGTGTCATTTTACTTTACTGTCGATAATTATGTGATCAAGTGATTCGGAGAGTGATGATGAAAATGCTCGTGCAGTGTATCGGCATCGGGAAAGACCTAACTATGTCATGTTGACAGACTGGGAATTTGTGGAGAGGTTCCGACTCAATCGAGAAAAGTTTGAAGTTCTTTTCAAGATATAGGCCCAGCAATTGCGAATCAAACAATTCGATGGTATGGCTTGTCACCATTGCAAAACTGATTATTGCTCTACTTTGGCTTGGGAACGGATTGCAGTACCCCAGGGTCACGGGGTATGTTACATGCATGGTGTGCCAAAAATGACCGTCTGCAGATGTGTTCCCGAAGTTGTTGCTGCTGTAAACGAAATAAAATTTAATGCCATAATTCGATGGCCCGACAATACAGCGCTTTCATAATTTGGCAGGATTTCCTGAAGTTTGTGGAGCTGTAGATGGAACCATCATAAATATCGATGCCCCTACGAATAACGAACCTGCTTACGTCGACCGCCATGGAAAGCATTCAATTAATTGCATGGCTTTATGTGGTCCTGACTTAAACTTTTATTATATAAGTGCAAATTGGCCAGGAAGTGTGCACGATGCGCGTGTACGTCGTAACAGTTCACTATTTCGCAGAATGGAAAACTTTGCTTTGGTGCTTCGATTTTGAATACACTTGTAGCAACGGTATATACATGTGTAGAATATTTTACTGGTAGCTACAAGTCTACCAAATAATATAGTGTTACAGGAAACTGAGGTACTTGTAGGTATAAGCAAATTACTAATAACTTGTAGACTTGTTACAATTATTGTAAGCATTGTGTTATAGGCCCCTGGTATTATGGTATTCTGATATATTGTCGATTTTAGAATAAACTAATCATTTCCATCATATTTTTTTGTCAGAATGTTCACAATCAAGAGGGCTAGTAATACCGTATTAGAACAGTAAGGTAATTAAGGGATTATATTTTCGTATTTATTATAATTTTGCTAATAACTTTGGTTTGAAAAAAGATTTCAAGATGCGGTTGTCGCGGTTTAAATTACATATACTATCGCATTTATTTTTTTTGAAAACACGCGCAATGTTTGTTAAATTGTAAGACAGCGCCCCGTAGCGTCTAAATTCAAAAGCTTATTATTATTGTTTATACGATATAACATATAGTAAAAAACTCTCTTTTAAACGAGCCCCCGTTTGTTGGATTCCGTTCATCCAGTCCGGAGTTATTAATATTTAAATAAAAACAGATTTAACCTTTCCCCGTCACTTTATTGCGGCAGTTAGGGGAAAATGGTTCTAATGAAAAATATTCAAAATTTACTGGCGATTATAAAGATATTATTTATAGTAGCCCTTATCTAGGCAAAATTGTGTAAAAAGTTCTTTGTCTTATTTCTTATAGAAGTTGCGCTCTCTAGCGGCCGTTCTACAAACTTGAAAATAATTTCCAGCAATTTCTCATGGCCTCTTTAGTTATAAATATTTTTTTCCACAAGCTCTATGACTAATACTTTCCGAGGCTATTCTTAGTGGGTCACCCTGTACAAAGAAATGTTACAGAATGCCTTTATAACAAATAAATTACAATTACCATGGCAGCATTTATCCGTCTAAAATTTCTTAAATATCATGAGGAGCACTTAAAATTATTTCTAAACGAAATGGGAAAATTCAGATCTAGGTGAGAGGAGCCAAAATATTTGTTGTGTTGATGTGATAATGAAATTTAGTTTCTAAGATGTATTTCAATTATTTAAATTTATATATGTAAATTAGAATTAAGTAAATCAATCTTACTTATATTTTATCTTGTATAGGTTTGCATTTTATTTTAAAACTTAAGCTATGAACCATCAACCGATACTTACACAAAAAGGTCACTCCATCAATTATACCCACAGGTCATCAAGGATAAAAAAATTATACAGGGTGAGTTTCCTATGGGTATCTCGGAAACTACTGGAGATAGAGAGTCGGTTAAATGGGGAAAGAATTTCAGTTTTGTGGAGTCATAAATATGGGCCTTTCAGATTTTTTAAAAAGTTCATGGCTTACTAGATGTTTCGAAAAAAAAATGTTGGCTATTTTAAAAATGATTGTCCCTAATTCCAATATAATCTATTTTAGACAAAAAGTTTTCAGGTAAAAGTTGTAGATAATCACATGAGTTTATGAGTTTATGTTCTCCGATTTTTTCTAAACCCTCTCATTTTAGACATATAACACAAACATATGTTTTTTTAAATGGAAACCATAGTTGGCCATAACTTCATAAAAAGCGCCATTTTTTTAAGCTTTTCAATATAAGCTATAATATGTTTTTTTTTCACAAAATTACTGAGTTATAGCCATTTAACCAACTCTCCATATCCAGTAGGACAACGGCCAGCTACGTCGAAACACCTGTTCCCATTAGAACACCGAAGTTAAGAGACGTAAGGCGATATTAGTGGATGGACGGGTGACCGGTTCGAAACTCTATCGTGCTGTTATCCAAAAAAGACAAAAGTGTAAAATCTATTGACACACACTGCTCATTCACGCCGGTTCGAGGCCGGATGAGATGGGATATCTCGTGAGTAAGAGTCGATTTAGACACTTGCCAAGTCGATAGGTCATTAACCATGATATGACCGAGGACCACGGTTCGGATTCCGCGTAAACAAATTAGGCCCCATTCAGATTTGCCCTGGCAGTAAAAAGGGAGACGTTAACTTGAAATCTTTACTTTTCTATCTCCAGTAGTTTCCGAGAAACCCATAGAAAACATCGTAGACTCACCCTGTATAAAAATATTTCAACAAATAATGCATTTGCTGCAGTTATGTGCCAAATGTTAAACAAATCAATCGTCTCCAGCAATTATACCATCTATAACTGTTTCACATCCATCTTTAACTTTTTTATTTTGATTTTTATACATCTTAGATTTATTTAAGGTAGGTGTATAAGCTAGAGAGTAGCTTCGGTAACACGGCGATTAACTTTTTTCCCACATACAATCTATATCCACGATCTACATTCAACGCAGACCAATTTGTCAGTGATATTTTACTAATAAATCAAATTTGCCTAACGGACAAAAAAATTGGCGCCGGGAGGCACGTATAGCCGCCCATACTAAAATATGTTAATAAAAAGTTAGTAGGCAGTTCTTTTAGTTTCAAAGTAAAGGAATTTTTCCAATTTTTTTTTTATCTCAAAAACTGCGACTTTGACTGATTTTGAGTGAAATTAAAAAAAAAATTTTGCCGATCTTAATAGCCTACCATATTACCTGTTGGTATGGTCGGCTAAAAAGGCTTAACGGTTCAGGAGGTATATCTTCTCTCGTTCTCTCGTCGTCAGAAGCATAAAATAGTCATTTAAAATACCTATATAAATACAACAATTCAAGAACACTTCCTGTGCATGGTGTTTCAATACATGGTGTTCCAAAAAACATGTGCCATCTCCCGTGGGGAGATTCCTCACGTAAGAATAAGATTTATTTTTCATATCAACATAGATCCGATTCTGCTTTATTTCGTAGCTACAGGGTGTTAAAATATTAAAAATCTTTTGATTTATTATAATTTTCTTCCAAGTACTTTTAGTGATTTGAATTAAATT